GGACCAGACAGAAAACAAGGGAACAACTCACGACAACTTAATCTAATTTGCAGTCATCTTTCATGTTGTCCTGGTTTGAGGTATTGGCACAAGCAGAGCTCGACCAATGCTGTGATACATGTACATTTCACTATGGTTAAGGAATCAGGGATGTTATCAATAAACAGAAAGTGCTTCTGTCTAAGAATTTTGACACTTAATTGCTCAAACATATCTACGTTCAAAATAATAAAAACATCTGATGTTTATTTGGATAGTCTTCTTTCAATTACTACAGAATGAAAGTGTACCTTGAAGAGTAATATGTGCATTCATGTGCAAAATGTAGGGATCGGATTGTGTACAAATACTATTATACAAGCATACAATCAAAGCACTGGTAAAGCAAGTATTGGTATCGTACACTAAGTATAATATAGCAAGTATATGTGTAAATATAGGTAGCACTTGTGTATGTATTCATACACGATATAAATTATCACATACAGTCATCATTTGATGAGAATAATGGCACAGTAACTACTAAGCCATTCTAACTTGAACATCTTAATTATCAAGGCTGCCAAATTCCCAATATAGTCAGATGAACCTCTAGGGAAAATGAGTTTGAGGGTAACTATCTACTCTCATTGAAAACATTCCTCCATTGGTATCCAGGAATTTGTCTCTAAGAAGGAAACAGAACCGTTTTGTGGCTTTGGTAGCTCTCTGATCACCAGGTAATGTCACCATCCTAGTTATTTGTATCGGGCTTGGTTCCAGAACTACAGTCCAGAACAGCAGGTTTGGTTTGAGCCCCACTAGCAGAGGTCTGAAAAGAAGCCTGAATAACATGGATATCTACAGTGTATCTAGTTCTTGTAAGCCCTGCCCAAACTGCCTTTTCAGTGAAAGCTGATCCACTCTCCTCAGCACTCATCTTCTCATCTTCAAGACTTCACTTGAATTTCTAATCCTATCTCAAGTAAAAAGGACTGTCCTGAGAATCCATAAGCACATGAAAATCATGTAATAGCAAATGGATGTTAGAAATCCGTAGCTTGAGGCAGCAGGGGGTGACACCCAAAGTGTCAAATGGATGTTAGAAATCCGTAGCTTGAGGCAGCAGGAGGTGACACCCAAAGTGTCTTATAGAAGTCACCATGCGTTTTAAACTCCCTGTTCTTGCTAAACAGATCAGAAATATAAAAACGTGGCAAGCAGAAAACAGCATGCCAAGGGTCCAATGTCTGATGGAGAAGTCTAATTACTGGTACAAAGTCATGCATTCTGCTATAATCATAAGAATACACTAACTTCAAGTGCCTATTAATTGAATGCACTAGTGTTGCAGAAAGGTACCTACCAACTAAATGTGTGATTTGTATATGTGAATGACAACTACAGATGGCCATGCCCATTTGCAAGCAGAATGTTTCCATTTTAATTTCTGTAAGTTCATAAATCAAAGCATGGCTCATCTGGAAATAGCTGCAATGTTATCTGATTTTAAGGTCAAAATTCTGAAGGCCTAGACAGCTCTCATCCAAACTCACTAATCTTACCAGGCCTTTTGAAATTTTTACCTGCATCCATGGGAACAAAAAAAAAAAACAAACCCACCAACAGTTTGCAGTTTTTAATATACCCACCCCCTTTTTTAATATATATATATATTTCAAACAAAGCCTGGTTGTCCCACATATTCATTTAGCACTGTGAGATCAGGCTTTAAAAGCAAAACCCCAACTGCACAATTAAAAATAAAACCCTGCTGTATTTTCATTCATGTACTTCAAACGTGGGCAGACAGATGTCTAATGGTGAACAAGGATCTGTGGCAAATTCTGCCTTGAAATGCAAAGGCCACCTTACTTTTGGGTAAAGAGCGGGACAGACCAGAACAGGGAGCCTGACTGAGCTTACAAAGACACTCATTGGTTTTGCTCATTGCAATAGCTCAATGTAGAAAAACAACGTATGTTCTACATGTCAACAGTGGAAAAAGTCAATCTTTGTGAAGATGGCCGGGCATCTAAAAATAATGATAAATGGGCTACAAAAAGGAGTAGTTTGCTGCCCAAAGAAAATGAAACATTTCTAAAGGTTTGCATTTTTGCTGCTACTACCACAAAGGCGCAGAACAGAAAAACGCACGACTGAAGGTATGAAAACTTACTATATTCTACCTCTCCAAAAGCAGAAATAGCAGGGCTGTAGAATGGGAAAAGCTTTCAGGATCTGTGTTCTGATTACCTGTGGGGGTTCCCTGTACCAACCCACGTCTTACAATTTAATCAGCACTTCATGCAACAATGTAAACTCAATCACCTGACCCAGTTCGGTTCTGCTGTTGATGCCTTTGCACACCCCTCCTCTGCCTTTGAGAGTAGGAGGGGGCCACTACTGACTATGTAACAAAGAAACAGCATGTAAGCCAAGCTCTGTATCCTACACCTAATTTAAACATTCTGTATTCATTTCTCCTGGCATAATGTGGAGAGGATGAGTAATTAGATTATTATCTCCCCATCAATGAAGATTTAACATCACTGGGACAGGAAATTGTATCAGCATAAGAACAGACAGCAGTATTGCATACTAGGTTTGAAACGGGAAAGGAAAGCACTCACTATAGGCAATTTAAAGTTAAGAGGGACTTTATTATAATTTTCCTGACTGTAATATAGCCAAGAAAACAGCGATTCGAAAGGGAGCTCTCAAAGTTCCTAGGCCAAAAATTATTATAACAAATTTTCCATATAGTCATTTTTTGGCTAACATGGTCTCAAATTTTGCTTCTCAGATGTTTGCTGTTGGTACAGCATTAGTCTAACCAGAATTTAGAAGTGAAAGCTTATGAATAAAATTCCAATTGTGCCACGAGTTTTTTGCAAGTGTAGTGTTATTGCAGAGAAAATTGGTTCTTAAAGGCCACATTCCAAAATAGAATGATTTGCTTTTCAGAAGTACTTTTCTGAGCTTCCGGTACAAGTCATCTTTATTTCTGATGACTGAAAAGTATCCAGAGGGGGAATTTTATAAAAAGAAATCACCCCACTCACATTTTATCAATAGAAATTTCACAAAAGCGTCTGAAAAAAAAACCCCACTGCAATAAAATTTTGCCATGATCCTTTGCATTGGGGTGATTTTTTCTCCCCCTTTTGCTGCTAAAATAGCAGAACTTTCTTCCCCAACCCAAAGATAAGCTTTATAAAGTAATATAACAGTTTTCAGAAAGGAATGAGATATTTTTTCCTCAAAATTTAGTTGTGATTAGAGAGACTTTTAAAAGAAACATTTTATATAAAAACAAAGGCACAGAAATCTACAGCAAATGAGTTCAGCTTGAGCATTGAAAATTTTGAAAAAGTGTTTCTTTGCAAAAATCTCATCAATATGCTCTAAGTCTGCTGCTGAGAAATGGATCACCCAGAAAGAGGGAGCTGGTGATTCCTCAACTGTTGTTACTGTGAAGTACAGGCTATCTATTAACAGAGATGCAAGTATTGCTTTTCTATTAGAAAAGGTAATACTGTGATTTTTTTTTTGAGTGATACTTATGATCAGATTTTACTTAGTGTGCAAAATTGATCAAAGATAGCAAGTGAGGACCAGACAGAAAACACGGGAACAACTCACGACAACTTAATCTAATTTGCAGTCATCTTTCATGTTGTCCTGGTTTGAGGTATTGGCACAAGCAGAGCTCGACCAATGCTGTGATACATGTACATTTCACTATGGTTAAGGAATCAGGGATGTTATCAATAAACAGAAAGTGCTTCTGTCTAAGAATTTTGACACTTAATTGCTCAAACATATCTACGTTCAAAATAATAAAAACATCTGATGTTTATTTGGATAGTCTTCTTTCAATTACTACAGAATGAAAGTGTACCTTGAAGAGTAATATGTGCATTCATGTGCAAAATGTAGGGATCGGATTGTGTACAAATACTATTATACAAGCATACAATCAAAGCACTGGTAAAGCAAGTATTGGTATCGTACACTAAGTATAATATAGCAAGTATATGTGTAAATATAGGTAGCACTTGTGTATGTATTCATACACGATATAAATTATCACATACAGTCATCATTTGATGAGAATAATGGCACAGTAACTACTAAGCCATTCTAACTTGAACATCTTAATTATTTCCTATTGTTTGACATGTATTTTTAGTCAGTGTTTTTTCATTGTCAGTGGTTTTTGATTGCTAAAATGTCTTTACCAATTGCAGTGAGGTTGCAGAACACCAAAAATCTGGATTAGCAAGCAAGGGTAGGAAACAGCTTTTTCTCACTGAGAAAGGTGCAGCATAAGAATAGCTTAAAAGGTTAACTGCCACCTCCGACAGATTTCCTCTTATTTCTTAACGGGTGTAGAAAATGTTCAAAATATTTAGTAGTATAGCTCGGTATTGACTAAAAGTTTTACTACAATATACTACTTAATTTAGTCCTGCCTCTCTTCCAACTCCTGTCTTTTAGAGATACTTTAAATGACTTTCATACTTATGCACACCAGGAACAATTAAGCACAAGACAACAAGTAATACTGTGCTTTAGTACCACAGTTCGGCTGCAGTTCTGCAACAATATTACTCGAGAGCCCATAAAACGCAAATGACTTGCTGTTTTCGTAATTTAGCGAAAAAAGCGAATACCGTCAATCCCTCCGAGGAGCACACTGACAAACCCTATGCCTTCGCAGAGACTGAGCTCATCTCGCTATTGTTGCACGCTACTTGGAGCAGTTAAGTGCGAGACGTCGATCGTCAGCCACAAAGGCAACCCGCTACGGTTGGTCTGTAGCACCCGCGGGGGAACTGTTTGAAAGGAAGTTTGTGCACACCGATGTTTTCAGGAACCGCCTTGTAACAGAGGACCGGTTTCTCTCCCCTCCTTCTCAGCCAGGGGCCATCAGAGCAGGCAGCTCGGAGCCAGCCCTGCCGCCCCCGGCCAGGGCAGCCTCACCTCCCTGGGAAGGCTGCAACAGCGAGACTTACCTTAGTGAGCTGGGCAATCTTCTTGCACATTTTCACGTGCATTTCCTGATTGCATTCCTCTGCCGAGCTGCTTCGAGCGGCTTTAGAACCATTGCAAGTCCCGGGCTGATGAATCTTGTTTATGCCAGAGGCCATTAGGCTTGAATTTTAATCAAGTCTGTCTGCGTACGCTCCGGGTAGTTCGATCCTGTCCCTGCTGCTAGCCTCCCCCGGCGCGCTGCGCACACTCAAACCCCCAGAGCGCTGGAGGAACTTCAGCCCCAAACAAGACAAGCTCCAGCAGCCGCCGCTCTCCCTTCTGTGCAGATGTCCCAGTCCTTCAGCAGAACACCCAGGCGAGGAGGCAGAGAACAGCATGTGCAAACATCCTGATCGTTTTGGTTGTTGTGGTTTTTTTTTTTCCCCTCCTCTTCTCTTCAAATGGTTGAGCTTCCGCCAGGAGAAGATGCCAGTGCCTGGATGCTACGAATTCCCCATAGGGGACGCTGAGCCAGCCATACAGGCAGCAGCACAGGCGTTGCCGGCGATCTGTTATAGAGATTAAATCACGTTGCCTTCTTGGGCTGCCAAAGGGTTGCAGAGGTCATCAGAAAGTAAGGTGTTGGAACCTTTCATAAGCTCTGTTATTTTGGCGATCCTCTCTAAGTCCGGAAGGACCAATAAAGAGATGAAGAAAACCTTGTTCAATTTTTGCTGCTCAGCTGAAAGCAGAATGAAGCAGTTCTTCCAGCTAAGAAGCACACTTGAGCACAGCTGAGCCCCGGAGTAGTGTCCAGGATTCAGCCCGCCTGATCCAAAGAGACTGGTCAGCTCCCCTCAGTTACATGAAAGGCACTGGAAAGGTGCTAGAAGAAAACTGACAATATTACAGGTCTTTTCTTTTTCATCTGCAAGACATTCCCTCTCATCAGAGACCAGGTTTCTACATGTAAAAATAAATAAAAGGAAAGAAAAGGCATAAAAAAGCACATAAAAAAAGGCAAACTATTGAGATAATGGGATTTTAAAAGATGAATACTTCAGTAAAGTAGTGTGCAAGAAGAAAATGGTTAGTGGACACGTTTAAACAAGTCTAGAAGAGAAAGAGGAAGGAGGAGAAGGCAAAGTAGGGTGAAATCAAAGAGGTGCAGAAGAGGAAAAGGGAGAAAGAACAGGTAAAAGAAGCTGAGAGCGGCTCAACATCTCTTTGATGTGCCACTGCAGCCAGTACAGAAGACCCCATGGAGCAGGCTGAGGACCCCATCTCAGCTCACACTGGCTCACAGCCCCCCTCTGAGGCTGCCTCTTCCCCCTCCAGGTCAGGCAGCTTTCCCTTCCAGTCTTTGTCGGGCAAGAAGCTTCCACTTTGCTAGTGGTGGGTTTGAAAAAGAGCTTCCTCCGGGCTATCAGAATTAGGATTATCCTGTGCCAGGTAAGCGCAGGTAAAAAAGGGAAAGTCCTCAGTGAAAAAAGGAAATTCTTGGTGAGGGCAAAAAGAGATAAAGCACTGTTAAGAATAAACACTCCAGGAGGAAAAAGATCAGGGCAGAAGAAGAATGCCTGCAGGCAGTGGGGAGAAGGAGGAGTGAGAAGATGTAAGAAGAGAACACCTTGGGACAGAGAAACCAAACCCTTTAATTGCTGGGAGAAAAGAAGTGACTCTAAATCTCTGGAGACAGAAATAATCTTCACTCCAGGAGTGCGGGGAAATGAAGACTGAGAAACGCAGTGTAGGAGAAGGGAAAGGCCAGGAACGAAAACGAAGATGATGACAGTTGCTGGGAGATGCTAAGCACAGAAGAGAAGTTTAGCCCAGACAGAACATTATTAAGAAAAGGTAAGAAACAGAGCCTTGCACGCAGGAATGACTAAGTATAGTTTCTTCATTCACTGGCATTGGTGTCCAAGATGCTGCTGCCTGTGACTGAAACTTTTTCTATGATTAGAGCATAAGGACATGCCATCATCAATTGTCTGGGGTCTGATAAGACATGTACTCATATTTAAGTTTAACTCAGTTAATACGGTTATAGGATCTTCTCTATGTGGTCATCGATTTGAGAAAAAAGTGTAGGAACTTAATTATATGTAAAATTTTGATAAAATTGACACGTTTATTAGGACAATCAAGAGAACACAAAGGGCTAGTGCAATTTCCTAGTACCTTGTTTACTCAGAAAAAGAACAAAACTGAGTTAAAATAGAAAGCAAATTAAGAAAAATCCAAAAGGTTTTAAAAGTACTTATAGTAAGTTACCTGTGTTATTGCTCTACTAGACAGACCATAACATTCATGTTTTTCCAGCTGAACAGCAGAGGACACACTGGACCTGAATGCACGGCTGGACAGAGACTTGAGACACTTAACAGGCACAGATGGAGCAGAGGAGCACAGATCTTCAGGTACACTGGGAAAGGAATAAACCACTGAGAGATTTTCAAGCAAGCTGGTTTTGGGAGGCTACAGGGAAAAACTTGATGCTTTGGTACAAGATGGTGTTTTAGCAGAACATAATTTGTCAGTGGTAAAGTACTCTGAGCCCAGACCAGACCTGTCAGTCAATACTTCAAACATTGGAAAAGCTTTGATCAGATCTCATGCACCAGAAAATGCAACCACAGAACATAAATTCATAGGTGACTCAAGTTCATTAGTTCCACCACTCAAAAAACCCACTTGGTTTCAACTACAGAATTTCAGCAAGTACTGCCAGAGCTTTTCAATGAGAATTTGACCTACTTTTTTCTTCTAATTGATATAGGGATCACCTGTAGATAAGACAACAAAGTAAGGATGTCACAAAGCATTCTTTGTGTACTGTACAAATGTGGGTTTTGTGGGAACCGCACGGAACATGCAAGTAGATTACAGAATGTTCGTGAACTTGGGGCAGTATATAGCAAAGACAGGTTAAAATAAAAATTAGAAGTACAAACAGAAAACACACATCTTGAATTATTATTGCTGCATTAGTTTTAAGTAAGTTATGAGAATGTGATCACGTCACTACAGTCTTTATAAGTCTCTAAGTAACTGTACACTGGTTGATAGCTTTACTGCTCAGATGCATTAACTGGTTTCCTTTTATTATAACAGACAAGTCATGTATGACTAAAAGACTATAAGCCTTCCATTTTTGGTACCTCCTGTTGTTGAATATGCAGACTATATAGCTTCTGAAATCTTCAGACTAGCTACTGTTAAAATATCCATACACTCCAAATTCCACGACATGAGGAAGATACTTCTGCTGTAAATGTTTAATATGTAAGTTTGCACCTTTAACACATTACAAACAGCTTTCCCAAAACACAATAATACAGACCCCAATTCCGCTATTTGTCTGAATACCATTATTACTGAAATGAGTGGGATTTAGTTATTTATTTTAATACATGAATGCAAACTTAAACTCATCTCCCTCTCATATGGAGACAGGCTGAGAGAGTTGGGGTTGTTCAGCCTGGAGAAGAGAAGGCTCTGGGGAGACCTTACAGCAGCCTTCCAGTACCTAAAGGGGGCCTACAGGAAAGATGGGGAGGGACTCTTGATCAGGGAGTGTAGTGATAGGACAAGGGGTAATGGTTTTAAACTGAAAAAGGGCAGACTTAGATTAGATATTGGGAAGAAATTCTTTACTCTGAGAGTTGGGAGACACTGGAACAGGCCACCCAGGGAAGTTGTGGGTGCCCCATCCCTGAAGTGTTGAAGGCCAGGTTGGATGGGGCTTTGAGCAACCTGGTCCAGTGGGGGGTGTCCCTGCCCATGGCAGGGGGATTGATCTTTAAAGTCCCTTCCAACCCTAACAGTTCTATCATTCTATGATTACACTCTACTGCTGTTTTGCAGTCCAATAAAATTTGCATTTGAAAATGGTGGAACAATACAGTTAGTCAGTAACTGTCACATTATGTTTCAAATGACAAAGCCGTAACAGGTTTTATTAAACAGGTTTAAAACTTCTCAAGTTAGTGTCCCAAAAAAGGAAGATGCATCCCTACATGAGATTCTAATTTAATTCATAAATCACTATCCTCCTCATTGATCTCCACTTAAATTCATTTTGGTCCCAGAGTAGCTTTTTGACCCTAGAATACAGAATTCAGCGACTGTTTTTTTCCTTCTTAATGGGGGGGAAGTAAGGATAAAAACAGTAGTCAGAAGACTCGTAAGAACAACTGTCCTGCTCACCTAATTCACTATCCAACTTCCAGTAAAGCTTGCTGTGGGATTGAATGCAAGAAAAAGGGCAAGTATAAAGTGGTTCTGCCACTGGTACATCTTGGGTAATCACACACATTATATATATACAAATACTGTATATAACTACTTCATACTTTTCATTTCCTCCCACCTCATGACGCAAACAGGATTTGAGAGTCCAAATTCAAAAACCATCAGAGTGCTGCTGATGCCCTCATTGACTGAAAACAGTAACTATTCAAACATGTATATACAATTTTATAGCTGACATATATACACAAGTTTTGGAGGAATGTGGTGAACAGAACCTCTGATTACTACTGCATAATAATGGCCCAACTATGGATGAAATATAACTGTACTTATATTTTTAATATGGAAACTGGAACCAACCAGATACATCAGTTATAAAAGCCCCCGAACACCTACTAAATATGATAGCAACAACTTCGCTTTTTTTACCTGTTTTTTACCCAGTGACCTACATCTAAAATTACCACAAAGTAATTGGCATGCAGCATGTTTGGCTTACCACGTGGCATGGTATATTTGCTCACACAACAGGACTGACAAAAGAAGGAGAAAGGATCTAGAACAGGTCAGAAGTAGGGAGACACGCAGAAGTAGACCATGGCATAGCAGATCACAGAATCACAGAATTTTCAGAGTTGGAAGGGACCTCTAGAGATCATCTAGTCCAACTCCCCTGCTAAAGCAGGACTGCCTAGAGCACATTACTCAGGACTGCATCCAGGCAGGTCTTGAAAATCCCCAGAGAAGGGGACTCCACAACCTCCCTGGGCAGCCTGTGCCAGTGCTCTGTCACTCGAACCGTAAAGAAATTTCTCCTTGTATTTGAATGGAACTTCCTATGTTCCAACTTGTACCCATTGCCCCTTGTCCTGTCGCTCAGAACCACTGAAAAGAGTCTGGCTCCATCCTCCTTCAACTC